CAAAACAATTACGACTCGGAGTTCGACTCGAATTCGAACTCGAACTCAACCTTCCGCACCTCACCTTAATTTCGCTCCTCTCGAATTCGAATTGGAACTCGAACTCGAACCCATGCACCCCCCCTGGGTCCTCTCGAATTCGAATTCGAATTCGAAATCGAAATCGAATCGGCCCCCCCAATGCGACGCGAACTCGAAGTCGACCTCAAACTCGAACCTCCGCGCCTCAACTATCGGTCCTCTCGAACTCGAATTCCAATTCAAATGCGAATTCAACCTTTTCGGTCCTACCGCATTCGAACTCCAACTCGAATTCGAATTCACCCCCCCCCCACCCAAAAAAATCGAACTCGAACTCGAGCTTACGCCTTTTCACCTCTCAGCCCTCTTGAATTCGAACTCGAATTCGAACTCGAATCCCCCCCTCGGTTCTCCCGAATTCGAATTCAAATTCTAACTCGACCTCGAACTCGAACATCCCCCCCTCACCTCTCGGTCCCCTCAAACTCAAATTGCCTCTCCGGACGCTCCACGTGCCAGCGCTTTTGGTCCTTTCGAAATCATATCGAACTTGAACTTGAACTCGAACCCCTCGCCCTCCCCCCCTCGACTTTCGGTCATCTCGAACTCCCCCTCGTTTCTCGGTCCTGTCGAACTCAAACTCCAACTCCCTCCCCCTCGCCTCTCGGTCCTCACACATAAAAATGTCTGTACACATGTATAGATGTGACTGTTCCACATGTTAATTCGAATTCAACTTCTTCACTGCGAATCGAATTCGTATTCGAACTCGAACTCCGCCCCCGCTCGCCTCTCGGTTCTCTCAAAAATTCGAACTCGAATTCGAACTCCCTCCCCCTTCACCTCTCGGTCCTCTTGAAATCGAATTCCAATTCGAATTCGAACTCGAACTCCCCCGGCCTCATTCTTCGGTTTATCGAACTCGAATTCGAATTCGAACTCAAACTCCTATAGATGTGAATTCTACATGTTAATCCGAATTCAACTCCTTAACTACGAATATCTACGAACCGAACACGTATTCGGACTCGAACTAGCTCCGCCCCCCTCGCCTCTCGGTTCTTTCGAATTCGAACTCGAATTCAACCTTGAATACTCCCCCCCTTCACCTCTCGGTCCTCTCGAACTCGAATTCGAACTTTCCCCCTCTTTTCACCTATCGGTCCTCTCAAGCTCGAATTCGAACTCGAACTCCCCGCCCCTCACCTCTCGGTCCTCTCGAATTCGAATTCAAACTCGAATTTGAATTCGAACCTCCCCCCACCCTCATTTCTTCGTTTGAATTCGAGCTCGAACTCCCCCCAACCTCACCTCTCGATCCTCTCGAACTCGAACTTGAACTCTCCCCCCGGGAAAAAATTATGTATGGAACTCAAACTCGAACTCAAACGTATACCCCCCCACCCCCATTGTTCGGCCCTGTCGAACTCGAACTCGAATTCGAACCCCCCTCTTCACCACAAAATGGTGTATGGAATTCGAACAATTCGAATTCCAATCTCGAACCCCGCCCCATTTTCATTCTTCCGTCCTGTCGAATTTGAACTCGAGTTCGAACTCCAACTCCCCCCCCTCTCCCATCGGTCCCTTCGAATGCGAACTCCTTCACCTTTCGGTCCCCTCGAACTCGAACTCGAACTCGAACCCCTCCCTCCTCACTTATTCGGTCCTCTCGAATTCGGACTCGAATTCGAACTCGAAGCCCCCCCCCCCCTCACTTACCCAGACCCCCGATGGGATCTAATTAATAGAACCCTCGCTTGTGTGAAAATAGATCCGCAAATGTCCGCGGGATCTAATTTTTAGAACCGGTGGTACTTTGCAGTACCTCCTGATCTTCACATTCTTGAGCCAAGTACATGGAAAAATCGTGGAGGAAAAAAATAGCTTAAACAATGTATTTATACATTGTTTAAGCTACTTGTATGTGTATAAATATACAAATTCTATATATATATATATTTGTTGCGGTAAGCTGGGCTCGAAGGTTGGGGCAATCAAAATTATTTTGGGTGACTAATCTAAAGGCCACGCGCCGGGAATGTATGGTTTCAGCCATATACTCGATCTTGAAACATGTTGCAAGGGCTGGAAATTGGGCTTTAATGGTTGAAGAAAACTGAAACTGCATAGGTTGCTGACTCTGTTTTAGTTGTTCAAACACACACACACACCTCAAACTTGGTAATAATACGCCAACAAAGTTTCACGACTTATTAGGGAATGGATTGCATGAAGGTATTCCCTTTAAATTGGGGCTGCAAATGATTTCTTACGGGATGCTTCCACACTACATTCATAGTGGCACGAGCGTTGTAGTACTTTGAGGGGTGATCTCTAAGTGAATAACCGCATTTTTGGGGACCCTAAAACCTTGCGCGCAGGACATCCTGTTCAAGCCAAGCTCCGAATCTGAAACCGCCCCATCTCTTGTCCTTATAGTTCTTGTGCTCCGAAAACCTGAAAGTTCTAACCGAAAGGAGGACCCAAAACAGGCAACAATTCGCGAAAGCTACCGCCCTGAAGTGCTCCACTAAAGCCCTCAAGCCCCAAGGAAAAATGTAAAGCGCAAACCCTCAGCTGGCCATCGGAATGTTTTGCAGTGAGCACTCGTGATCAATGCTCTCTAGAGAAGTGCTATCGACTTCAAAATGATAGCTCGGGATCGTCTCATTTCCTGAGTGATCTCTGGATCCTGCATTGGGGTATAGGATGTAAAGGACTAAAGTTTACTAAAGGTTACGGGTATAGAAATTATGGCAATGTGGGTTTAGGACCATTGAGGAGGCTCCAAACTGAAAATAAGAAATAATAACCAGTCCTCCTCCAGATTGCGCACGCGTCGTACCAGGAACTGCCATCGAAATTTCATAGCATGCCAGATTTTAGCGTACGCCACAGGAGGGGATGACATTGCTTCTGTTGTAACGAACAGCTGTAGCACTGCCCGGCTGAAACCTCTCGTATAAGCACCGCTGTCTTTCAGATACCTGCCCCCGTTGACGTCAAGTTTGTGCTTGTTGGAATTCCATGTTTTGGTGTAGTGGATCATCTTCTCGATCTGTGCCGAACGAACATCCCAAAAGCGGAATGCTGTGCGGAAAGCAACGCCACTTTTCACAAGCTTTCGTAGCCAGGGCAGCTTTGAATTTTTTTTGGCCGCACGAGCCATGATAGCTTTCTGGATCCTGCGGCTCCATTTCTTTAGCAGCCTGCTCATATCCAAGTTTCCAAACAGAATCGTTGGTTTGGCCAAAGCATGGCCATAAGGTTTCATCCACATGTACAGTCGATGGAGGCCCAGCTTCTCGATGAAGAGTGTAAATTCAGGAAGACTGAACATCATCGAACTGCTAGGCTGTTCTATCCTTACTCAAAGGGCACCCTTCTCAAAATAAGATTTTCGTTCATTCTAGCCAACATTGGTTTAAATAACCAGTGCTGGAAAAGCTGAGCATCACAAAACGTACCCGCCTAGCGTGGCAGACGGCCAACAACACGAGCAGGTTAATGACGATTTGGTTTGAAGCTCGTATGTTGGCTTCATACTGATCTCCATATGGCTGGCTCGGGCTGCGGGCGTGGTAGGATCTTGACATCCACACCATCAAAGAGCAGGGTGGTCCTGCAAGCACGGCGCCACCAACTTCCTTACATGGCTTCTAGCACAAAATAAACACGAAATGAGATCCAACCCCAGCCCTCATTTATCTAACCATGTTCCGTTCACCCTCTCTTTCTTTATCTAGCTTGAAAGCCTACCTAAACAGAGGCAAAACACAAGATCAATATGAATAGCTTCTCCCCCAAAGTCCGACATTAACTGTGTGCTTGATGATAAAATTCAAACAGGAATCGAGAAGGCAAACCAGGAACAAAATGTTGAAGAAGCCTCTGCGATCCAGAATATTCTCAAAGGTGTGCTCTTTCAGCTTGTCGATGCTTCTCGCGTTGTAGCCAAGTTCTGTGCAAACGTTGAAGAACGATCCTACCCCCGCAAAGCAATCAAGGAACTGCAGGGTGCGAGGAATTTCGGACTCGTCAAACTTCTCAACTGAATTCTGGATTTCTTCCAGATGCTGTGAGGCGTCGAAAAACCCGTCTTGGAGCTCAATCAGCCGGCAGGCCATGATCCTATAGGACACCTATACAGAAGGTACGGAAACGAATTGAACATGAAAAACTGCAGTGCTATCGTTCCAGCAGTTGACAACCAGTGACATTACAAAGCGCAGCAACATCCCCTGTGGCACATGCAGAGGCAACCTCCTGGAAAGTAATCAAGTAATTGTGACGATGATGATGACGTTCTGATATTTCGCGTTCCAAAGTGATACCCAGAATCAGACTATCTAGCCATGATTATCTGAAACTACAACGAACTTTAACTCACATTCTCTATTTTGATTACTGACCAGGAAGGCGCCGACCTCTTTGCACGACAAGTCTTTTTTCAATTAGAGATATAAGCTTCGAAATTCTTTTGGTGGACACGGTGCGCAGAACGCGCAATTTTCGCGAAGACCCCATTTAAGGATTCATCGCGGTACGTGGAATAAAGGCGAGGGTTTCCTTTAAACAACGCACGTTGAACCATGTGAAACAACAAGTGACATTTCGGTTTCAAGACCCCACCGGCGCGAAGATAATGCAGCAGAAATCGGATGTACCGATTCAGAAGGTTTTGGCACTCATTGCGAGAAAGCGTCCGAGAATCAGAATTGAGCACATCATCCATCGCCAGGGCGTTCTCGGTTGCAGCCGATAGATGAGAAGCTTTGCAAATATCATCACCCAGATTGATCAAGTCATCTCCATGCCTCACAAGCAGCCAGCGAATGAACTTGAGAAGCCCTTTGCTTTCGGCTGCCTTTGCGCTTAGATTGTAGGTCTCCTCGGACCCAAGCATTGAGATTGTCAAATTCCATACCTTCAGGGTTTGAAGCCATGTATATATTTGGGGCCCAAGAAAGAAGATCTCATATTTGGAAAGTTCCAGCCTCGCTCCCCTTGCGTTTCCATTCTTCATCCGTGTTCCGAAGCAGTTTGTAGAACAAGAAAAGCTCAGATTTTATAGTTTGCAGGGCAATCTCCTGTTGGTCAGCTGCATGGATGTTGCTGGATCTCGCATTAAAGAGGCCTGACTTTATGAAGAAACGCAATGTCATACTGACAAGTTGTTGTAGAGGGCCTAGGTGCCAAGCGTGCATGACATCTATGCCCCAACTCTCAATTGACACCCCATCAAGCGCAAACAGCGGGCAGCTGTGCGTTAGACGGGCTTCGTGTGGTCCCACCCAGAAACAGACATCAACAGGTGTAGACAAGTACTCTAGCTGCCCTATGTCGGGCAATGCGGCACTGGGCTCCAATCGCCAATTTCTCTGCAGCCCAAGCGCTGGCACATTCCGGATGAGGACCCTGCCACGTTGCTTCTTTTTGTATTCCAGATTGGAATAGATCAGACGCAATTCTTCTGCATTGTGAATTCGAATCACCTGAGATCAAAGGCTTCAGGCAGTTGTTGAAGGGGAGGGGTTAGGTTGTGTCAAGAACATGTCAGTATGATATCTCAGAACCTTTTGTGAAACGCTCCAAATCGTCATCGTAATCTTGGGCTGTGTAGAACTCAGCTGGCATGGTGCTCAGGGTCACCTGATCAAAGTGCGGGGTCATCATAGTTTCCTGATCAACGCGGCAAAATGGACATGGATGGCTGCCATGACTCCAATATCGACCACCAGTGATCTCTAGAAAAGCCGGCCAATCACTCTGGATATCCAGAATAGCATAACGAATGCCTGACCTTTGGGCTAGATCCTCGAAATCCCTTGTCCACGCCAGGAGAATCGGATAGATGCTGCACCAGCCGCGGCATCCGCATTGGCACATATCCTCGCTTCCTGGGAGCAGGTGTATGGAGTTGGGACTTTGGGTTACTTTTGGGGGCTTTAAAGACTTGAAGCGATTGCTGAGGGCACATGAGGTTTTGAGGCCTGGACTAACCAGGCAAGAAAGGAACTTCTGCTCTGAGAGAGGTCTGTAACATAGAATCCAGTGAAGGAGTCATGCGCCGAGTAGCTCACTCCATCCCAGTACAAGGCAACAGGTCTAACCATGCTTTCGTGTCCTTCAGAACGAGCTTTAACAACTACAGGATGTTGATCGTAGCAAGGCAGGCCTTGAAAAACATTCTTTCGTTTTTCAGATTTCTTCGGAACTTCTGGTTTCTCCACGTAGAGGCTGAACAACTTGGATGGCAACATCATGGGCAGCTGCTCGTTGACCCTCCTGCATTCACGTTTTACATAAAGCGGTGTGGGGATGTAGGTCAGATCTGGCTCTGGAAAAATCTTTCCAGCGTGTAGTCGCACATGTTCATGGCCATGTTTGGTACCTTGCTCTGGGCGAAGACCCAAATCACCAAGACCGTGGCCACCCGCTTCGGTTACCCAGTACGAGATTTCAGCAACATCAGCTCCAGTCATGGACCCCATTGTAAACCTATCCAAAAGCAGCATGCGCAACTTCTCGCCCGCGCATCGTTGCTGAGATTGCAAGGGTCGGTCTACAGCAGTCTCATTGATAGAAACAGCGGCCTTCCTTTTCATTTTGCCCGCAGCAAAACCATGGCCTCCTTAGGAGGCTACAGTCTACGAGCTTGACCCTTGAATCACGCGTACCATGCACGGAGCTCAGTCGTGTAAGCAAGACCAGATATTCTTGCAACCAGGATCACAGGCTCTCCCCCAATATTATGGCCCAAATTCGTGAGACCCCGCTATAGCACAGATACAGGTTTACATTCCCATAGATGGTTGTATTCCTTCTTTCAGCGAATATGAGCCCATAATATTGGGGTAACGCACTTGCATGGTGGCTTTGTTTGAGCTCGCTGCTCCAAGATCCTTGTGTTCACCTATAGCCGTGGGTTTCCCAACCTTGGCCATGGAAACAAACCCCGCAGGTTAACACACCCGGAACATAAGCAGGATTTCCCACCCATGTTCCCATACCGTTTGGCGGCCATGAAATACTAAGGGCTGTGCCCCAGATCTTCGCATCTCTAGAAGACTCTAGATCACCAGACATTGCGCCCAATAAATCATTCATTGGGTCTTGGCAACGGGAACGGCTGACTTCCTAGGCTTCTTAGGCTTCTTTGGGGTTGCCATAGCTGAGGAAACGCTCGATGCCTTGGACATGTTGTCGATCTTCACGGCGAGGTGGCTCATCCTGAGGAACATGGGTTTGAGGCTTAAGTGGCTTAAGTGTAGTATAGGGTGTAGGCCTTAGGGTTTAGTTTACAAGCTTTTGTTTGAGGATCGTGGTTTGGGGAATTCGAGATTTACCTAGAAATAAGCTAAACCCAACTCTTAATCCAGCAAAGTGTCTGTTCACACGAAGAAGAGCAACGATCAACAAACAGAGTCATCAGTCGCACGAAGGAATCCTTGTGGTCTTTCTTGAGTTGTCGGAGGGCCGAGGGAGAAATCACACTAAGCTTCAGGTCGTTGACAAACTCCGTCAAATCATCCCCATGTTCGGGCTTGAGGGCCGATTGAAAATCGGCCTGCCACTGGAGCAGGTCCTCGAGCAACGGCTTGGCCCACCCCCACTCGGATGGAAACTTGTCGATTTCGGCACCCACTTTGTCTACGATCTGTTGTGTGCGTTGCAAACTACACAACATGTCTTTCGCAGCCTTCTCCGTCTGTCGAGCTTGGTTTCCAGCCGCGCTCTTGGCCTTGGGCTTCTTGCTTGGCTTTCCTTCTGGGCTACCATCCCCAGAGGCACGCTTTTTCCCAGTGGTCGGCGCAGGAGTGCCTGGAGCTGAGGAGCCGCCAAGGACTGTGGGGGAATCAACCTCTTCAATGCCAGGCACTGACACAGACATCTCTGCCCACCCAGCAAGCCCCTGTGGGCTGTTGATAACATCTTCCAAGTCGACATCTGCCAAGGGAAGATTCTTCGCAATTGCGAACTTTCGGCGGGCTTTCAGTCGATAGCTTTCGGTTTTGAAGGTTTCCGACTCATCCACCTGCTCGACCACTTCACGCCATTCCTCCACGACACTCGAGGAGGAGAGACGCTCCACCAGCAGGTAATTCTCCGCCTGGGTCCACGAATTGTACTCCACAAAGATGTCCTGCCAAGGATGACCAAACTTGGTATAAGATAGCGGGCACCCAGAAAAGCTTGAAGACCTACCTAATCTTAAAACACACTCCTGGCCTCAAACTGCTTGCGCATCGATATGTAATTGGCTGCCTGACGGCAGGCTTCGGGATACTGGGCCCCTCCGAAATGGTTCTGGAGTTGGAGCTCATTCTTCCAGCTCCCAAGCTCGCTTTGTTTTGTCTTGTTGGTGATGGAGCGGATTCGTTTCTTGACGACCACATCGAAGTCACGCTCGATCGACCATGTCATCCGAAATTTACGCTTGAGGTCTTCGGTGAGCCATTTATACACATCTTTGCAGGAAGGCTTTTTGGCAAAGGCTCTATTGATTTGTTGTCCAACAGCGCCTCGGGCTGACATGTCTAATCCAAAGCAGGCCCAGTGTTCGAGGCCTTGCTCCGACTTCCGAACAGTCTCTAGAGTCACCGTTGTAATGTCCAAACCCTGGAACTTTGCATACTGCTCAACAGCACGATCACAGGAGGGCATCTCGACAGCGTCCTTGAAAGGGTAGCCTAAGCCTTTAAGAACATTTTAAATCCCAACATATGTCCCTCACCCCTCTAAGTTAAGCTCATGAGCAAGGATGTTCACATTTCGGAATACCCAAGCCCCCTACCCCTCTACTATCCCGAGAACATACCACTTGTCCCTACCCTTTCCAATCTTAGGCCTTGCGCTGATTTGCCGTCGCTTGGGCGTCAAGATCACGATTCTGCTCCTGGCAATTGGGTTTAGGGCCTTGGGTTTTATAGGGGTTTGGGGGTCTAGGGTTTAGAGTTGAGGCTTTCGGGTTTTCTGGGTACAAGGTGTGGGTTTGGGTTATAGGGTTTAGACTTGCACTCCTTGGCCTGGGATGATGTAGCGTCGGGGCTGTCAAGGGGCGATGGCTGAGCAAAGCCAGCTGCAGCTGGCATGGTAGTTGGCTCGTCCAGAGCCGCCATGAAAGCCGTTGGGACAAAATTCCCTCAAAACCTTGAAAATTTGGGCCGCTACAGGGGGCCCAATTATAAGAATTAGGGGGGGGCTCATCGCTCGTCTCTGTAATACTTTAAACTGTAGGAACCCCTAATTCCAAGGAGGCTCATCGGGGCCTCATCGGGGCCTCATCGGGGGCTCATCGGTCTATCAGAATTACAAAGAGTGGCGTCATAGGGTTCCACATGGAATGTTATGGGCAGGTATCCTATGAATGTCAGAACTGCTGAATCAGCATGCAACTGCAAAGGGTTCAGGGTCTACTTCAAGCCTGGCTGGAATGAACAAGGTCTGCGTGTGTCCCCGTACAGGTGTTTTCTTTGCCTTGCTATGTGACAGCCCACGCAACCTAGCCTCGGATCTAGAAATGGGTTCCCATGTTTGTGTAGCCTCGAAAATTACAAATGTAGGGAATGTAGACAACAATAGAGCGATGAGCCCCCGATGAGCCTCGCCCCAAAGGTAGCGATGAGGTACCGATGAGGCCCCCCCATAGACAGGGCCCCGGTAGAGGAAAGTAAAAGGAAGCCGAGCGATGAGCCCCCGATGAGCCTTAACTTTCTTAGGCAGGTACTTCGGCACCCATAATATAGTTTACCTCCTATGTTCAGAAATCTCTTGCCATGTTGCAATGTGTTCGACCCCCCATGAAGGTTCCAATGACCCTCCATAAAGGTTCCAATCACACAGGCCCATGCAGCATCTCTCCCGTATGGGTTCAAGTTCTAAGGGTTTGGGTTTTGTCTTTATGGGGATCATGCCCAGTCATGCTCACCAGCTTAAGACCACTGGATCCAAAAATAGATCCTCCCCACAAGATCCATCATAATCTCACCCCACTAACGTAGCCTATATAGAACGCTATATAAGGGGATCTATTTTTGGATCCAACAAGCCATTGGTTCTTAGGGGCTTTGTTATATATAGGACTTATCAGGGTTTAAGGTTTGAGGGTACCCAGTGCCGGATTCAGGATTATATCCGCTTTGCATAAACCTTATAAACCACTTCAATCCTACATATGTGTATATATATATTTGGGGAATATGTATATATACATAGATACATATAGCCCTAAACCAGAACCAACTAAGCATCCCAAGCCCTAAGCTCCCCAAGCCCTAAACCTTTGGACGAGCGCATGCACCCCAGGTTTTTCTCTGGAGATCCCAAATCACGATCAGGACTGGCGCTTGCAGCTCGCTGCGCTTCGAGCATAAAGTAGGGTACAGGGTTTAGGAGTTTAAAAGGTTTAGGGTTATAGGAGTTTAGGGGTTCTGGGGTGTTGGGTTGAGATGTTCAGGGTTTTGGGAGTTAGTCAGGGGTCACTATTCTTGAGCTCAGCTACTGGCTTCTTCTCTGGGCGAAAAATGGGCTCGAACGGTTTAGGGTTTAGGAGAGGGTTCAGGGTTATGGGTTTAGGTTCTAGGGGCATGCGGGCGGGGGATAGTATAGGTCCTTCTACAGTAGTGCGTGAGAGATGTATTGGCCACGCAGCAAGACTGCAGATACCTCAAAACGTTCTGAGTAAAGGCTCAGACTTGGGTTTCGCAAGTGTTCACAGTCAAAGGACCCCCAGGCGGTACAGGCAATGGTGGACCAACACTATGATCATCAGAGCCCTCGCTCAGCCCACTAGTGGAGCGGAGAGGCTGCGCACGCTTTAAACTGGGCTTCTCAGCAGGCACTTGCTGTGCAACAGGCAACTTGTGCAGCCTGCTAGTAAGAAACTCAAAGATATCCATATCTATCGTAATTTCACACAAGCCGGATTCGTCGGTTTCGGGCTCCATCCACCGCTTCACAAGAAAGAGGAAGGTACCCTGATCGTACTCCTTCACGATTTCATCCCGTTTACTCTTGCAATCCTCGAAGGTAATGCAGCCATTAGCAATCTCAGCCTGAAGCCTCTTCATGATCAACATGGCAAAGAACCCGGGCATGTTTTTCACGACAAGTTGTAATTTTTGGACCCATTTGCTGCCAGCCACATGCTCCTTGAAGTAGATCACCGCAAGGTTGTTCCTCCCGGCTTGCTTCTTGTACTGGACCTTCAGGTCGCCTTTCAAAACCTCGGAGAACAGAATGTTTTCTTCTAGCATCCAGCTCTCTTGTTCATCTGGATTTTCTTGCTGATCCTGTTCCTTTTCATCGGGTTTCGCTTCATTGCTCTCATCTTCGTTGCTTTCCTTTTTGGCATTCTTTTCTTCTTTCTTCTTTTCCTTCTTCTTTGTTTCTTCTTTGCTTCTTTGGTACCCCCCTTGCTAGGAGCCGCGGGGGTCCTGGTCGCCTTCTGCATCCGCTTTGACAAGTCTTCCTGGGATGCGCTTGGCCGAAATCAATGGATTCATCTGTTGCTAGAATAATGGGTTGATCTGTAGAGTAGAGGATTTTAGTATTTGCATCAAGTGAAGAGGCATAGGGGTTTTGAATTCGGATACCCGTTGTGTACCAACAGGTGTTACAGATACCAAACCGCACATATCTAAGAGGCCCTTCTTCTGCTCTTGATCTTATTTTGATGGTTATTGTGTTTGTATCAGCTGCTACATGCTCATCCTAGTGTTTCTTCTGTAATCATCCTATTACCGAGAGGAATACCGCTTATGCATATGCGACTTATCTACAACACTGCATACTCCTCACACTATGACTAATTTTGCCGCAATCCATATAATGCTACCCCTTCCATAACACTACAACGTACCCTGACCCACTACCAGCTCCCCTTCCACAACCACCGCCGCTACCCTTTACAGCCATGGCTGTATGCAGCATAACTATTGCTGCTATTACTGCTGCCTCAGTTGTTATTGCTATGATACTATTTGTAGAACTATGCAGGCCATACAACTTGCGAGTTCAGCATCCAACTGCGAAGTTAAAGGCGTCATCAACAAAGCGTCGTGGCACAAATGCATTTCTGCTACTATCGAAATTCATGAACGGTAGTACAAATTTGTACTGCTACAAGCGCAATTGCCATTACGCCTTGGTCTTTTGTGGTCCTATTTAGATGAGGCACTTGCGTCAAGTGCGCCACTTCAACGCACATCCCATCTTCGAAGTAGCAGTACACTGGATCCAAAGCAGTCAATGAGCCATCGAGGTCTGCAGGCCTGGACCATTCTATCAAATTGCTTTTGGTGCGCTTTCTCCACACAGCCCCCCTGACTGGATCCCAAGCTGTTTCGTAATCATCTTTGGAAACCGCCGCTTGTGCTTGGTTCTCTGGGCGCTGGCTTGAGGCTGCTGCCGTTGGAGATTTTGCTGGGGCTTTCGCGGAATCACCTTGCTCCGCACCTTGATTTTCATCACGTGGGGCAGCTGCGGACACGGCTTGGAGTGGTTCTTTTGCAACATCATTTTTAGACGCAGAAACTTCAACAGGCTCTTTGCTTGGCAGGCTTTGGGCTGCTTCTTGAGTGGGATTCGTTGGGGGCTGGCTTGAGGCTAACTCAGCTGGGCTTGACGTCGCAGGCAGGTCTTGACTTGGTTCCTTGGGGATCAAGTCTTTGGCACTTCCCTTTGCAGCTTCAGCTAGCTGAGTGGGGACGTGTTCGGGGGCTCGGGCAGGTTCCGAGGCTAGTCTTGCTTGATCAGATTCTTCCTCTGCGACCATGAAGAACTCAGGAGATAACGGATCTCCATCGATACCGGCCAATGCATTTCTGCTTCCTGCATCTCGGATGTACGACAATTAATGGTTGGGCAGTGTAAGGATTTGCTGGGCATCAAGGTTCTATGGGTACGCCTTCCCTGCATGCTTAAGTGAGATCGCCAGAGGCCCCGAGGTGTTTCCAGTTCGCTACAGTTACAAAGCTCTTCCCAAAGCTCAATGCCAAGCCAATGCCAATTCGGAGGATTCTAGCATATTTTCAAAACTCTATAAAACAGTTTTTAAAGCCTTCCCCAAGACCAATCTTGAACCCCTGGATTAGGAAGCCCTATGATTTGAAGATGCCAAGGTCCTACCAATAAACGTTGTAA